GAGACAGATGAGCATGCTGTGAACGCTGCTGAAATGACAACAAAAGATTTGGAGCAGTGCACACATTTAGCTGATAAAGCTGCCGAGGGTTTGAAAGGACTAAACTGAACTGGTGGGGTGAAGTCCCACCAAAAATTACATGCTGGAGAGAAATTTCCCATGAACAGATCAGCCAATCTATGCGGCAAACTTCTCTGCTGTTTTATTTTAATAAATTGCCACCTGCATCCCAAATCTCACCACATGACCTACTCAGAAGGTGTCAGCAACAAGGTGAGATCCTCCACCAGCAAAACATTGTGACTCACAGAAGCCTCAGACAAACATTAGCATTTTTTAGCAAGTAAGTACTTCTTAAATTAACCTCTGTACATTGTTTTTTAAGATATGTTGGAACTACATACTTACTAGACTACAGTATATTATAAACATTACTTTTATGTGCACTAGAAGACTAAAACATTCTGCAACTCACATCATTGTGATATTTGCTTTAATTAAGTGGTCTGAAACCAAACCCACAATTCTCCAAGCTTTGCCTGTACAGAATATTTGAATGCCTTGATCGGCAAACCTGATGTAATAGACACATATAGGAATATACCTATCATTAAGCACATAAAGAATATTTACTGAAACTGACCATGTATCAGGCCATAAAATAAGTCTAAAAAACCTTCGAAGGAGTAAATTAATGCAAATTCAGTTTTCTGACTATAATGCAATTAAGGTAGAAATCAGCAAAAAGATAAATGAAAGAATCCTTATTTTAAAAAGTTTAGATTTAAAAAGTATAAATAACCAAATACAAAGTAATTCTAAAGGAAAGCAAGAATTTAATGAAATTTGAAAATATTTTTAAATTATGGCTTGAAATAAAAGCAATAAAGGAATAATCTTAAGTGTGAATATTAGGGAAAAAGGAAGACTGAACATTAATGAACAAAGAATTTTTTAAAAGAACACTAAAATCAATTAAATAAATGTGGAATAGAGAAAATAAAGCCAAATTTATATTATCTAGGGACCAGGGATTTAGCTCTATGGCTCCAGCGCCTGCCTTGCGAGTGCAATGACCTGAGTTCTATCCTCGGTACCAAAAAAAAGAAGAAAAGAACTGACAAAACTCGGAAAAAAAAATAAAGAGAGAAAAAGAAGCCAGAAATACCAATATCAGAACCAAAAAAAAGTCAATACAGAAAACTACAAATATAATAATACTGTTATGAGCGCTTTTATTTCACAACAAGATTTGAAAATTTTAATGAAATGGATGAGTCTTAGAAAAATGCAAATCACCAAAAGTGACCCATGAAGAAACAGACAGCTGAAATAGTCTCAAAACTTCTAAAATAAATAAATTATCAAAAAAAATCTTATGAAAAATAAAATTCCCAGACCCAAGTGGCCCAACAGGTAAGTTTCACTCAATAAAAATTAATTTCAATCTTTCACAATCTTTACCACAAAAAAAAGAAAAGGAAAAATTCCTCTCAAAGCAACGTGATTGCATGAAAATATGATAAGCAATGGAAAAGGAAAATTAAAGCTAAACTCGCCAATCAATACAGATTTTAAAATTCTAACCAAAATAAGCAAGCCAAATCCAACAGGATAAAAAGGTTAGTAAGTTATGGTCAAACTGTTTATCCCAAAAAAATCAAACTGGTTTAATGTTCAATCATCGATGTCATTTGCTATATTAAGAGAATAACAGGAAACCAAGCACAGGATCATTAAAATGGGTAAACAAAAAGCACCTTAAAATATTCACAGGCTGGTCATTTTCAAAAACTTTTTTCAAACTAAGACTAAAAGAGAACTTCTATAATGTACTAAAGGATACACAGGGCTTTCCATTTTCATGTCAGAGGACAAGGGCTCGGTTACCTCAAACCTGGGCTCCTCCTACCCCAAGCTTCGGCCCAGCAAGATCAGAGCGCACTGCTAAGGTGGGTGCACGGGGGCTATGCTGGTGCACATCTGCCCTGGCCTTTGCTTGATCTGCTCCCTGTGCCTGTCTCCAAAAACAGTGGCTGCCACAGCCAAGGCAAAGGGAACCTGGAAGGGTCTGAGGACTGCAATGAAACTATCCAGACAAGCCCAGACTGAGGTGGGGCCCTCTGCCTCTGCCCTGACATCAAAACCCTCCAGAAGCCACCGAGAGACAGAACAAATCAGGAAAACACTGAAACACGGTGGAGATCCCCCTTCGGAGACTGCCAATGATGCCAACATAACAGCACTGATCTCCGACCAGAGAACTCTTGGGGACCGCCCAGGCCGTGGACACCGTGTTGATGCCCACCGCCTCCGACACAGATGACAAACAGCGGTACAATCCCACGCTGAGCTAGTTACAAAGTACACAGGAAAATACTCCATAAAGGATCGTCTGACAACCGAAAGGCGGGTGGTATGCAGAAAAACAGCAAATATGACAAAGAAGAAATGCTGAAATAGCTTCTCTGAAATCTGGAACTAAAGACAGAGACGCACACTCTCACTACTGATGCTCCACACAGAGGGTCCCAGGTGCTGATCCCAACAAAGGGAAAGGCCAGTCTTTAGAATAAGTTGTGGAGGAACAACTGGATAACCGTGTAGAAAAACTTAATTTGGACCCCTACCTCACACCTTACATAAAAATCTGATTCTAAAGTATGAAAACAAATATATAGAAGGAAAAAGAAGTGACTGCATGAACACAAGTTAAGAAAAGATTTCATGAATAAAATACAGAAAATGCTAATTCTAAAGGAAAATGGTACTCGACTACATTCAAATTAACGTCTCCTGGGAGGAGAACAGCACAGAGAGTGAGAATTCAAGCCACAAGGGAACACAGAGAGGCTCGCGGTATTGAGGGAATCTAATTAAGGATGAGTTGCCACTGAAGATAAATTTAATTTGCGTTTAGTGGGAATGTAATTATGTAGTGGGCTTACTTACATAGTTCCTTACTGCTGCCTATGTGTAACTTATTGTTCACCATCCAGTGGAAAAAGATTCTGAGGGCCACTCCAGCTGCCAATGTGGTGACTAAGCTGGCTTACACAGAGGAGCGGGACCCAAGTGTGCGCCATTACACTATCATGTTCTAGGGCCCCATACTGGAAGTGTGAGGGTGACAGGAAGTGTACCAAGCCAGGAACCGGTCTGCTATTAGAGTGACAAAATGGCGTGCTGCAGAACCTGTCCTGCATTTAGATATAGTCAAAATGGGAAATTTTCTTCTGTCAGGAATATATTTAATAATGTACTACTGATCATTTTTCTTGTCAATGAGCATCACGCAAAGTAAAATTTATCAGGATTTCCCTGTGAAGCTGAATGCTGTTGACATCCAAACTACCAAGAAAAAAAAAAAAAACTTGATAAGTGATATAAGAAGGACTGAATAGCTATGCTCATCTTTTAAAAATATGCCGGGTGTGGTGGCACACGCCTGTAATCTCAGCACTCGGAAGGCTGAGGCAGGAGGATCCCTGTGAGTTCAAGACGACCCTGGGCTACATAGTGAGTTCCAGGTCAGTCTCAACTACATAGTAAGACCCTGTCTCAAAAAAAAAAGAAAGAAAATATATGTGAAAGGCAGCCAAAGTTTAGAGAACCAAAAATATAGAAGAAAAATATTAGAGGTGTGTCAGGCAGTAAATTTATGAAAGATTATGCTTCTTCCCATATGTATATATTATATACATATGCACCTGTTAATATTTACAATTTGGTATAATTATTTCTCATTCTAAATAAGTGCTATTCATTTTCAGCCTAACTCCATTTATAAAGTTCAACAAGTAATTTTTGTTTGTTTGTTTGTTTGGTATTTTGAGACAGGGTCTTACTATGTACTTCAGGCTGTCCCTCAACTCACTATATAGCTCAGGATGGCCTTGACCTCATGGCCTCCTGAGAGCTGGGATTACAGCTGAGTCACCACACCCAGTGTCAACAAGTAAATTTAAACCACACTGACTTAGACAAAGCATAAACTATGTACAATGTACAGTGTGAAGTAGGAACCTTTTTTTTTTTCTGCCCTGTCCATCTCTGAGGCCACTGTGACTAAGAAAACACTTTCAAGGTATTCATTCTCTTAACCTACAAGTGGATGTTGCTATTACAAGCACTTTTCAAACTATAAAAATTTTACATACATTTTGTACCTATATTTCACATTATGTTTGTGTAAGTCATACTTAATGAAATTGTAAAACTAAAACTAACACAGGTATTACACAGAAAAGGAATGATTCCATAAGATTACAAAAAAGTATGGTCCTATTACAGGAATAAAAATAACTAAAATCATGAAAGTTGTTTCCCACGAGTTGGCAACTCTGATACTTCGATACATGTCAAACAGTTAAGTAAATGGCTGGTGGCAGTGGAATTGTTCCCTGCTGCGGGAAGAATCACCAATTGGCAAAGTGAGGGAGCTGGAATGATCAGCATTAGAGACATGGGCAAGCATTTACATTCACTCAATACAGCTGCAGCGGGTTGTACACAGGACACTCACAGATGCACACCGAGTTTAAGCATGGATGACTGTACATCTGTGTATTTCTTTGCTTTGTCGGCTGAGAAGGCCTAAAATAACAGAGAGAATGAGTAAAACTGTTACCCAGGTCGAAGTATCCAATCCCATTCTCCCATAGAAGGAACTATGGCTCATTAGAGAAGTGACTAATTCCAGGACTAGGGCAGGAAATGCACAAAACGAGCCAGGGGCATCTCTGATGCAAAAGTAAGGAAGTGGAAGGAAGAAACAGGAAAGCCCACATTGATGGGGACTCAATCAAAGGAGTCAACTGAAAGAATCCCGGAGGCCAACACTGGGACAATGTGGGCAACAAAATAAACTACCGTTGCCCTATAATTCTGTGTATGAAGTAAATATTCGTGAGTCAGCCCTGATGTGAATGAATACATAGAAGAATAAAGCTATGGGGGAAAAAAGACAAAAACCCCACGTCATTTATGTAGGTACTCACCTTAAAGGTGGGAGCACAGAACACACCACTCTTCTGAATGTGTGAGCTGCACGCAGGGCTTCCTTCCAGTTACACCCAGGACAGGCGGAAAAAGAGCGCTTTACAGCGGGCAGACCTACCACTACTTTACCGGCTGACCACAGTGACAGTACGTAGCTTCGAGATGATCTGATGACAGTGGTGCTTTACCCCTGTGATTTTACTCCCTAAAACACATAAAACAGAGGGGAATCCTACAGTACACCTGACCAATACTCCTCAAAACTTTCAGGGTCCTAGGTCCAGGGATGTGGCTCAGTGGCACCGCACCTGCCTGGCAAGCGCAAGGTCCTGAGTTTGATCCCCGGTGTGTCTGTGTATCGGGGGGAATCAGTGTCCTTCAAGTCAAAGAAAACCAGAGAAACCATCCCACTAAAAAGAACTTACTGACACATGACAATGAAGGGAATACGGTATTCCAAATGAGATCCTAGACCCAAAAACAGGGCATTCAAGAAAAACTAAGAAAATCTGAATCAAATACAGATTTCAGCTACTATCAATATATCAACATTCTTTCAGCAACTGAAACAAACTTATCGTACTAACCAGGTAAGATATTAATAAAGGACACTTCAAGTGAGGTCTACTGGGTCCCTGTACTATCTTTATAATTTTTCTATAATTCTAAATTGAGACAAAAATCTGTCCACTGAACAGTTTTCAGGACAAAATCAACAGATCATGATAACCAGAGACACTTGAGACGGTGGTGCAGGACAGAGGAGGAACCACTGATGTATGTGTAGAGGGGAATACTGAGCAAACGGCTCTGGGGCAACGATAAGCCATGTGGGAAAACAAAATCAGGGGAAATTAGACTTGATCACTGCCTCCCTCCACAAGCTAACTGCAGTGAGGTTAAAATCCCAATGTGTAAAAACAAATCTTCAAAACTATTACAAGAAATCTTAAGAGAGTATCTCTATCATCTTGAGATAAGAAAAATCTGCTTAAGCAGAAGAAAAAATACAATAACCAAAGACCGATTTGACTACATAAAACTTTTCAGCTCTATAAAATAAAAAATATTATTTAAAGAGGGGAGGACAGATAGCTGTAGTGAGGAAACGATGTTCAAGGCCCAAAGAATTAATATACACAGGGCTGGGGATTTAGCTCAGTGGTTCTGATGCCTTCCTCACAAGCATAAGGACCCGAGTTCAAATGCCAGTACCAAAAAATAATAATAATAATAATTAATATACAGAACAACCAATGAAGAAATTCCAGAAATAAATTAGAAACAATAAACAGAACAAAGATAGGGACGGTATATGAACAGGTTAAGTCACAGAATAAATAGCCATTAAACAAATGGAAGTCTCTCTCTCCACCTCTCTCCCTCTCTCTCTCCCTCTCTCCCTCCCCTCCCTCTCCGTCTCCCCACCGCACTGAGGAATCAAAGCCAGGGCTTCACAGGAGCTAAGCATGTGCTCCCCCACTGAATTACACTCCAGACTATATAAGTATTTAATTCACAAAAAGCTCATGGAGGATATTTTTCAAACCAAGAAAGAGAAACTAGTGGAAAGGAGAATGTTTTCATGTTGCACTTGTCTAATCAATTTTTTCCCCATATGAAGAGCCTCTGTCTGTCACTTACACTCTAAATTCTATTCTGCTGGACCTGATGATGAGTCAATATCAACAATATTGCTAAGCCATACTGTTTATGATTTAAAAAAAATTACCCCAGGCCTGTCAACCACCTCGGACCCAGGACGACCCAGGACGGGACTAGAGATGCAAACACCACATTAAGTGCCCAGACCTAGGAAAGGGCACATCTGCGCCTGACTCAAACCTTGCTGGGACACAAAGTCAAAAAATTCCACAAAGTAAGGTACTAAGCAATCACAGGTTGGTACTAAGCAAGATGACTCTGTGTGGGAAAGCCCTTTGTAAATCTAGACAGCCTATGGTACTGTTCATGATTGACATCTAAGCTGTCCCATGAGTCACAAATACCCCATTTTAACCATTCTTTGAGTTATATGTAAGCAACAATATTTTGCATTCATTTAAACACATTTTTGATGACTAGTGAGGTATGAAACTTACTGCACACTGTAGTAAATGTAGAGTTCAAGTAAATTTTATCTATAATTTCCCAAACCACTATGGAAAGTTAAGTCATTTATTTTTATGTAATAGAACACAGTGTGGGACTATATAAAAACTAAAAAGAAAAAATTTCAAACATTAGCTGGTTTCCAAGTTAATGTCTCGGGAAAGAAAACTTTTACATAATTTAATGATCAGAATTTCTTCAGGACAAAAACTAATCCTCAGTGCAAATCTCAGTGGAAAAAAAAATCATTCTTGATGGATAAAGATGAGATAAAACTTGCCAAAATATAAGTATGGATATGGCTGAAAATAGCAAAGAAAAGCATTTGCAAATACTGCAAAAGAAAATGCCAATGTAACATAAGACAACTCAAAATTACTCTTCCAGCTCTTTTGGAAAATATGGTAGCAGTGACTGCAATGGTCCAATCCAAGACCACTACCTCTGCAGGTAAAGAATGGGTCCAACAGGACCCAGTTCAGCAGGGGCAGCAGAGCACAGAGGATTTTCCTTTTAGTCACTCTATGCCACCACTTCTTTTGAGAGATCATAGAACTGCACGCACAACCCCAGCCCTACACTTTCTTTTCTTCTTCCCTTCTTTTTGTGCTGAGAATTAAACCCAGCACTCACGCATGCTAAGCACATATTCTACCACTAAACTGCATCCCCAGCTCCCTCCCAATTCTTAAAGTCGCTAGAGGCATCCAGGAAGCCACGCTGTGGAAAGGGCTGCTTCTGAGGCACTCAGAAGGGCCTCAAAGGGACACCCACGATCACCTGCATCAGGTGAGAAAGGGAGAGCTACTTGTGCATGTGCATGGTCTTCTTGTTTTCTTGGAGAAGTTTGCATCATGTACCTCTAAGTCTCACAACCAGAAATAAATGAAAGATGCTTACTAATTTTAATTAAATGTCTTAATGCCATACATCAGTTTCAGGACAGGTTTCACCTCTGATACCAGGGAAAAAAGAAAACGGAAGGATGAGATGCAGACAGTATTTTTTTTCTTAAAGAAACAAACAAGAGGTCTGAAGCAAGTGTGGCCAACAGTTCGCGCCTGTGATTGCAACTCAGTGAAGGGCAGTATGCGTAGGTCTCATGGTATTTGCCAGAATTTTCCGTATGTTTCAAATACCTAATTTTTTTTTTAAATTAAACACTGGCATTATTCCAAAAGCAAGGCAAAACAAGAGCCCTAGCACGCGTGACCCGGGCTGCAGCAGCAGCGGGTGGGAAAGGCCCAGGAGCGGTCAGTCCTAGAGAAGGCATCTGCGCTGACCTGAAGGCCCGGAGCCGGCCACAGACACACAGGCCAACGCCGCACCACCCGAAAGCCCAGGATGCATCCCGCCGCTCACATACCTGTGTCACCCGCAGAGCCCGCGGACAGAGCCGGCATGATGCAGGCCCAGGGCCAGGGCGGCCCTCACACTCCCGCCACACAGAGCGCTGCCGCCGCGTCCGCAGAGATTGACGTGCTGCTGCCGTGAGCTGTTTCTAGAAATAAGAGAAACACTCATGTACATATATAGATATGTATAAACTACAGCAGTCTTAACTAACTCAAACTCGGACTCCGGGACCCCGGAGGGGAGGTCACAATTCTGTAGTCTCTTCTACAGACAAGGTGCAGATGCTGGACAGGAGAGTTTCTGATCTGGATGTGGGATTTCTAATTGAAAACATGACTGCTCTGTTATGCACGTGTCAAAGCTGCCTTCAAGATTTTTACGTTTGGTTTGGGGGCTGCTGATGGGACCTATGGAGAATTTTAAGGAGCTTCTGTAAGTCAAACCTATTCTCAGATTCCTTCCCCCCGTCATCATAATTCTAGCTGTATTTCCAAATGTGTAACAGAGACCATGAGAGTTGTCAGGGACCTGGAACTCATTGTGCTTTGTGAAGAGCTCCTTCGAATATGACGCTGCAAAGTTCTCTAACTGAAAACTGCAAGTAACCTTGAAAGAATTTTTGTAAACGCTGAAGCAAACTATTATTATAGGCTTACAGAAGTTGGAATCTAAGCTAAACATAAGGATCCAAGCTAATGAGTAAATTCTTTTAGTACAAATGAAGCTTTGATGGATGTTGGAAAGTATCTACTTTTTTTTTCAATAACCATCCTAAGTTTATCCCAAAATAAGCAGTCCAGAAGAACAGCTGAGCACAAGAGCTCGAGAGTTTGGCTAAACGTCTAATCCTGTTCAATCTATGATCAGGGACAAGTTGTTTAATCCTATTAAGCCTTAATTTCCATATATATATTAAATGGAGATGGTAATTTAGAACTATTTGATAATTAAATATGCTAAAGCATAAATTACAGCCCTTTGCAGAAAGAAAGCAAACAATAAAAACTAGCTATATGGCAGGGTTTGTTTGTTTTTTTTTTACTCAGGCAATACAATTATAAAATTAAAACACAAAAGAAAGTAGCAAGATTAAAATTTACATTGGCCTAACACCTAGAAGGAGACTATGTGGTTTAAGTTTAGATCGCTAGTATCTGATAATGGAAAATATACTCCACCTACATTTTTGTAGAAATCAGAACTATATGATGTGTTTAAATTTATTTTTTAATGAACTTCCTCAATTCTCTACCCCACAGACTCAGTCCCTTAAAAGTATAATCTGACATACATTAAGGACAACATGAAAAATAGACACCGTAAACACCAGAAAAACTGGCTTGCTTTCATTCTTAATGCATTTAAGTTGCTGATTTGTATTACAGAATAAAGAAAATGAGCTTCCCAAATTTTAGCTGAATAAAAACTCCAAATCCAAAACTTCATTAAAGCCTTCTAAGGTAGCTTTTTAACTGTCAAAGTAAAGCCGGTATGAAATTCCCCTCAGAGAGGCGTTCATGGACAAGCTGTCTGTTGCAGCGTCTTGAAAGCTGCTTCACTTTATCACAGAGGCGGGTGCAGTAAAAACACCACAGAAATCCATACACAGACGGGGGCTGATTAAAACTATGAGGGCAGTTATTTTAAATACCAAATAAAAATATAAATTGCTAAGCTAAAAATTAAAAATGAGAGAAAAAGACAAAGCAAGATTTCATTAGTGTCTGCTCAAAAGCTGTTTTCCCTGATAATTTAAAAAGGCAACTTTGCTCTCATTTCACAAATTATTCTAGTCAGCATTAAAATTCAACTATAAAAAATACTCCTTATAAAGGCAAGGGTAGATGGGTTCATACACAAATAAAGCCCCCCCAAAATATATCATTTGAATAGTGCAATCAATGAACAGATTTGTTTTGCTGATATTAAAAAGAAAAGAAAACCAGTTAAAAGTTGTAAAGTATATGAACACACACGCCTACCATTAGGGAAACACACACCTGCGTACGCACATGGGCAGCCACTCACTTGTATGTGGGCAATTTAGGTCTTATATCATAAGAAAAGTCAGACGCATGGTACAGATTACCCCATATGTATAAAATAAATGTCTATATATGCAAATGCAACCTGCCAATCCCTTAGGGGCTTAAACAATTTGTGTTTCTTCTTCTATAAAGCACATATATCATGTACAGCAACTTATACTTAAACAAAATTATAATCTGATGCAATCTGGTGCCTTCTCATTCCATGAATACTAACAAAAATTTTACATTCTACATCAAAACATATTTTTGAGCTGATATTGCCACATGAAAGGACTCAGAATTTCTCAATTTTTATTTCATAATAAACATTCAAGGTTAAATTTGTCCAAATCTGTATACTTACTACAGTGTAATTTTTTGTATACTCCCAAGTAATTACCTACGTCGAATATATACATGTACTGTATATGTGCATGAATTTTTTTAATGGTTTAATAGAAATGCCAAGCAGTAAAATACTTCAGATTTTATGGAACAAAGCAGCGTTGCTGGATTTAACTTCCCAACTGAGTTAAATTTTTGTGTAATAATGTTATTTTCTTTGGCTAAATTTATTGAAAATGCTTTGGAATTTTTCAGGACCCAGCCATAATTATTACTGACTGTTGTATGGAATCGATTTACTACAACACAAAAATACCAGCTGTTACAGTGTGTCCTGAGAGGAATTACTGAATATTCTTAAATTGAAGTTCAATCCATCTTTCCATAAAAAAGAGAAAGACCCAAACGCCAGGAACATAACAGCAGTATTGCATTTACAATACCCAACAGTACTATTACGACCCGCCTTTAAAAAGGCTTATTTTTGAAATTTCATTATTCCAGTTGTACCTTGCTTCTATATATCACACTGTATCAGGTTTTTCTGGCATTGATCACGTGGAAACTGAAATATGTGAAAGTCTATGCACTCACAATGTTCAATGTCTACCAGCCTTGACTTGATGCTTCTGGGGCTCTCCTGACATCTAGTGGTCAACAGCAGAAACGTAAATACTGGAGACCAGAAGGCTTTTGAATTTTCAGTAAAGCAAAAACTGACTTCACTCCAGCAAGCGGGTCACCAGCAAAATTTTTTATTAACCTGTAGACTCTCTCAGTTAATGCAAATGACCAAGAAACCAAGTAATTTAAAAACACATTTCCCTTCTATTTGGAGTAGTGTTTAAGAATATTAAAACCTGGGCCAGGGATTTAGCTCAGTGGCGCCACTGCCTGCCTCACAAGGGCAAGGACCCGAGTTTGATCCCCGTTGCCCATCCGTAAATAATAAATAAATAAATAAAACATGAAAACCTTTAATTAACTGTCATCACAAAGTAACAATTATATTAACAGCTTATGCTATGTTCAGTACACCAGCTGAAGATCATTTCACCATATACAAGAGTAAATTTTTGAATACGAATCTAATATCATTTTAAAAGTTCAATTTGAAAGATTCATCAGTATATTAGCCGGTGCAAGGAGCAGCTGATATCTTCTAACACTGTCTGAATCTTCATAAATCATATACGTAAGAATGTGAAGGGGGACCACAAACCTTAGGGGCATAGAGCCACACGCGTGGAATAATGTTTATATCTTTTCCACTTGCAGTTCTCAAAATGTGTGGCCTCTAGACTCCTGGTGGCCGCCAGTACCTTTCTAGGGTTTCATAAGGTCAGATCACTTTCAGAAACTACTGTCTTTGGCACCAGTGGTGAGAAGCAATTCAGGGTCAGACCCCTGGCAGCTCAGCGGGAATCAAGAAAATGGCACCACGTGCAGGTCCTCCTCGTGGTATTTGCGACTGGCAAGCACGGAGGGGCTACACTTCAGAGTATCCTCAACGGCAGTAAAAACTGATAGCTGGCCGACTCCTGACCGCCCATCTTACCACGGTCTCTGTGTTGAGATGGAAAGCACAGATAAATGCTGCTGCTGGCACAGAGCAAGGGCCAGCTCAAAGCACACACCTGTGTGACAGTCTCAGCTGTGAATGAATCAGACACCAGCTTGGGGCAGCCCCATTTTTGCTTAAAAGAACAAACGAAAGATATATTTCAGACCTGGGTACCTGGCACACATTTTCCTGAAAACGAATGAAGTGAGTCTGTGACTTCAAAAGCTACTAATACTCTGTGTTGCTAATGATAAAACATGAGCGTCTGAGCAAAGAACAGAACCGCAGGAAGCTGGCACCCCTTAGAGGCTGCCCTCCTTTTGCATGCAAAGGGAAACCGAACCCTGCCCTGTCCAGTATCAGCTTTCCCATACTTAGCTTTCCTAAGATGCCGCGATGCTGACAACTGCTTTTCTGATATCACGCCTGTATGTGCAAGACCTGCATGAGTCGGGGAGACGATATTTTCCAGTGTTCCAATACGTTAGGAGAAAACGAGTAACAAAGCACGCAGCAGAGTTAAAGTTCCAGTGCAGTGAGTTTACTGATGTACTTTCTGTTTACGGCTTTTTCCTAGTTCTACACAACTAACTCACCCTTAAGAAGCTGCCAAGTGTCCTGTTTTGGCGCGACAGCAAAGAATACAGCATCCACAGAGAACTGAGCACGCTGGTGAAATCCTACTACAGTTCTATGTTAGGCCAGATTACTTTGTATATTTCAACAAAAGAAACAGAATGACTTGAAAGTAGATGAAGATGTGTGAAAATACGTGTGTCCTGTCATGACAGAGATTAATTAAAAATTTTTGCAAGTCACTAATGTTTTAGGGGGAAATAAAGGTTTTTTAAAAATGTTATCTGTGCTAGCAAGTAACAAGTTTAATATTGTTTTTAAGTAAATTGAATTTAATTTTAATGGCTCTTAGTTTTCGAAAACATTAGATACTGATCAATATAACTCACATTATCAAAAGTCTTCAACAGTTTTGGAGAACTTGAAAGGTCTGGAAAGCAAAGCACTGAGAGCTATTATTCCACGCCAAGACCAAGAAGGCACTTTCCACAAAGGCCCAGACGGAAACAGTTCGGGCTCTGTGGTCCATGGCCTCCGTCTCCACACCCACTGGCTGTCACCTCAC